TTACCATGGTTAAATGATGTAATTGTGAGAAAATAAAAATATAGGATTAAAGCCAGATATTAACTCTTCAAAATGATATATTAATTGATTTATAAATCCAAGTAGAAGATTTCTAATAATTAATTTAATAAATGTAACCATAAAACGCGCATTAAATTCCGGTACCCCTATTACACTGTATATTATACAGAATATTTATATTTTTAATGTTTAAAGTTTATTGATATTTCTGAATGTGATCTAGGTCACTTAAGCCAAGACAGTCCAGGTCTAGAGACTCGATTCAGGATTAGTCAGATATTTAGATTAGGAGATGCCCCCACCCCTACTGCCCCGGCATTTTACTAACACTGTCAGCCCTAACGGCATGCAAACTAATAGTAAAGCATGTAATTTATATTACTCAAAAATATAACCCAAACGGGTGTACTCACCAAATTGAATAAATGAAAATTTGTATATTAAATTAAAATAATTGAATTTCTGCTAACAGTTTTTAAATGCTACTTAACATTTGTAAATCATAATTCTATTAGTATATTAATGACAAAGTATTGACTTGGAAACAAAGTACGGGAAAAATCGTTATTTTAAAAACTACATTGATTAAAAATAATTTGAAAATATAATTTTTTCATATTTTCATTGTCTTTCTGTGATCCAATGGACAGACACCTATTTGTAAGGGGCTGGTAGCTTTTAAGTATTATGCCCTAGCTCAAAAACTATAAGTCCTAGAGTGATTCTGAGAACACCATTGGAAAGAGCGTAAAATTCTACGGATACATGGTGTCAATGGTTTGTATCCTAACTTAATTGTTAGAGCACAGGGTGGCCGGGTATTTCAATAAATCACATCTTTAATTAATTATAGAAAATTAATCAATATGTGTATAGCAAAGATATGATATGGAAAATGTAGATGATTTAAATCTCTATCATATAAAAATTTTAAATATTTTAATAATTTGTAGCACCGGGAGGAAAGGGATGTATTTTATAGCGGGAAAACTACAAGCCTTAGCGCAAATCTAATTAGTGCGTTGGATAGAGCTCAAGATATGGATTTAACTAACATTTTAAATTTCTCAATTATCACTACAAATAAATGAGCTAGAGTAGTTCAAACTTTGCATTTTTCCATTAATAGATGCCATTGAAAACAGTAATGTATTGTATGATTATTTTCAATGTTTTCAATGGCATCTATTAATGGAAAAATGCAAAGTTTGAACTACTCTAGCTCATTTATTTGTAGTGATAATTGAGAAATTTAAAATGTTAGTTAAATCCATATCTTGAGCTCTATCCAAATGTCTGTCCATTGGATCACAGAAAGACAATGAAAATATGAAAAAATTATATTTTCAAATTATTTTTAATCAATGTAGTTTTTAAAATAACGATTTTGCCCGTACTTAGTTTCCAAGTCAATAGATTAGTTGAAATGCTCAGGACAAGTGTGCATAATGCTGATATACAAGCTAATGAATATATTAATAACGATTAAATATATTTAAATAAACTGCATGGTATTAAAACTATTTTAATTTAAAGTAGGGGAGTCCATTAATGTCATTCCTGTATCTATATAAAATAAGTTAACAAAATAGTGTAATATAGTATATTACTTTTATTTTAAATAACATGTAACAATTATCTAACTTTATGATTAAGTGTTTTTAAAAATATATTTTTTGTTTAAAGTAAAAATTTTTAAAGTATTAAAAGTTTTTTAGTTTATATTATTTATCGATTGCTTAAAATTCTGTATTGTCATTTTCATTAAGGTCAAATATGAATTTATATTTATCATTAATAAACATAAAATGAGCTAAAAATAACTCAATAAACTAATAATAAATCAATTAATATTGATTTTATTACAAGTTTTTGACAAATCTCAGCAAGGTCGCCATGGTGATCATTTAATGTTTTATTAGTAACATTTTAAAAGGCCACTGCTATTTATTAAATATAATAGTATCTATTGTCATATGCAAGCTTAAATTATTTCATAATGCAATCAATTACTAATTATTTGCGACATAAACTTTATGCATATTTTGTTGAGAAAAATGACCATGATTTTAGTTCATTTGAAATAATCGACACATTTCTCAATAGGTATGTCATATTAGCCGTGGGTTTGGAAGACTACGTGAATGGCGATTATATACCGCGATATCAATCGCGACAACTACCGGCCCGCGTGTTACTCACGTTAACGGGGGTCAGGTATGCCATCTCAGCCATTATTAACACGCCATATACGAGAGCTCTGTTATGCGACGGAAACTACATGTTAGGTAACCCGAGACTCACATCCCTAATGATGAGTGTCGCGGCGTTTTGCATACTATTCATCGCTATTAACTTCCAATGGCTTCAAAATAGGCGTCAATTATATATTTGTAATTTTGGGGTCGATTTACGTCGCCATCAGGTGTCGCCGCCATTGAGTCGACGTAATTATCGAAAGCTTATCTTAAAACTCAATTTGTTTGCCAAATATATTATGCGACAAATGTTTTGGTTGTCAATATTGGCGTTAAATGGTTTAATACATTGGTCATCGATTATGGTTTATTTGGACCCCGACTCAGGTTTCATTCTATTAGGTAAGTCCAATGGTATGGGTGCGCCACTATTAGTTTGCGTTTATATTCATATAGATTTCACACAAATTTCGTCAATATTTGTCACAGACTTTTGCCACATTTATTTCAATAACAATCTACTAATTATAATTTGAAACACATAAATAACTAGAGTCTCTCAATTGCGTATCTAATGTTTGATCTAAACCTTTATTTCATATATAGAGAGTGTTTGTCAAAACTAAACAGCTTTTATCATTTAATACTAAACCTTAATCTCAGTGGCCGCTAACAGTGGACTATGCAAATAATTTTGAGATTAACGATTAATAATAAATGATAAGAGCTGTTTAGTTTTGACAAACACTCTCTATATATGAAATAAAGGTTTAGATCAAACATTAGATACGCAATTGAGAGACTCTATAAATAACCCTCTCTCTTTTAGGGCTACCAAATGTTAGGATAGAGAGCTAGCTATATGTGATTTAGGTTTTAATTAGTAAATTATTAAGTGATCTTTAACATTTTTAACCATCTTTTAAAAACTAAATGGCGTCACATTTCTTTCTATCAAAATAATAGGTGTGGTGTTTTGGACAGTATGCGTAACTGCCTCGGTGATACAATTATTTGGCATGATACTTATTGGTTATTTCATTATATACATGGCCAGTAATTATCTAAAGTACAAATTCACCGAAATTAACATGGACATTCGTGTAGCAATAAAACTTCGATGCAATACATTGCTAATGAGAGCGATTAATCAGCACATGGTTGTCGCTAAAATCACCCATAAGTTTAACATACACTTCAAGTACATACTGTTTGCGGTCTACTATTTCGGTACGCCTGCCATTGAAATAATGGGATATTTAACGTTCGCAAAGGAGGCCAAAACCATGCTGATCCGATTTGTTACTGCATTTCTATTTATGGTAATGTTTGCCGTAGTATTTCTCATCAACTACCTGTCCACTCAAGTCAGTAGTTCCGCCCATAAAAGCATTCATATTCTGTATTCGCATATGAATTGCAAAACACTTTCACTGAGACATCGGTTAAGGGTTTTGGTGTTCATCGAGAGGTTAGACAAACACGACATCGGGTTCTCTATTCACGACTTATTCCGTATGTCTT